TCGCTCACGACAGCGTGAGGGGCGGGGCTGCGCGGGCCGGAGGGAGGGGGCGGGGCTGACACGTCACCGAGCCCGCCGGGCGTTTGTGATTGGTGCGCGGACGCGCGTGCGCTTGGAGCGCCCCGGCATGCCTGCGCGCACGTGCTTGGCGCGCCCCAGGCTACCGCCCTTAAAGGCGACGTGCGTTTTAACAGCAGTAGCTGTAGCGGTGGTGGGACTTTTCTTTTTTTATTGCTTTATTTGCACCTTCCTGCTCCCTCCCCAAGCTTTCATGCCCTGCTGGGTTTCGGCTGTTAGCCTCGCTCTCCGGCTTTCTGTTGTCAAGCCAGCTCCCGGCTCTTCCCAGGGCCACGTGGCTACCTGATCGCTTCCGGGACCGGATGGCCGCTGTCCTGTTACCGCAGCTGCTTGCAAGCTGTGTCCATGGGGCTCGATCCAATCCAGACCGAGCTGATGAGACAATTGGGAGACCTGTCTGTAGTTTATTAATTCAGATTATGAAGTGACGACTATGAAAACCTGCTTTATAACAAGTGCCTCTCCATGGGTGGATAGCCACCTCTGCAGATGAGGCCTCCCACAACGCAGGCAGGGCAGGTGTAAAATCTTCATGAGCAGTTTATTGAGGACGAAAGTGCAACTTTCCTCCAACTTGGATGATGCATCCGAAACGTAACAGGGCGTGAAAGCTTGGGGAGGGAGCAGAGAGGTGAATGAATCGAGGTGAGGACCTCCGTGTGAACGTGGGACCCCGAAGACGGGGGAGAAACGTAATGGAGAGCAGCCTCAAACCGTGCCAATGTGTCAGTATTTGTGTGTGTTGCTGGTGTGAAGTGGGGGCCAGCTTCTTTGGCAGACATGCCATAAATTAGCCCCATACCTGTGTGCCCCTCCAATCCCCTTCCCCTGCCAGCTCTGCTGCTCTGCTTTTTGCCGTATTTACAGCTGTGCTACCTGCCCCCTCCCTGGTCCACTGCATGCCAGGCACAGAAGCAGCCTGTGCCACTTGTGCCACCCGTGCTATCATTATATATATGTGTGTGTGAGTGTATGCATATATATGTGTATGTGTATATGCACACACACACACACTCTTGCTGTGTCTGTAGTGACTAATGTGCTGCTTGAGGGTACAGACATGATCCTGAGCTTCCTTCTGAGCCTTGCTACTGCCCTTTGTCACTCTACTGGCTGCACAAAGGTGTTGTGGAGAGGATTTAGCAGCCAGCTGGGTTGTAGGGGTAATGCAAGAGGTGCTTAGTTAGGCCTGGATCTCCCTACCCTGCAGCTCCAGGTGGAGGGCTGAGAAAGGCACATTACCAGAAACCAGTGTGCTCCAGCAATAACCCAATTTGGTGGCTGATCTTCTGGGGGCTGCTGCAGCCAGGTGACGCTTATAGCACCTGTGGGGCTTCCCCAAACTGTCTAGAGGGGCTTGTCCCCAGATGAGTTGTAGGCCAGTCCCTGGCAGCTCCCCCAGGAGCTAAGCCTCTCCCTCCTCCATAGCCAGGAAAATCCTACCACAGGCTCAGTGTGTGCAGGCTGCACTGTTGATTCCTCCCTATCTTTGCAATCACGTGCAGTGCAGTGCAGTGCAGTGCAGTGCACACCTGTGCTGCTTCTAGCCAGTCACCCACTGAAGCAGACAGATGCAGCCTATGCAAGATCCAAACAGAAGCCTAGTTGGTCTAATAAAAGATATCACCTCTACCCTGAGTCCTGATTGCTTTTAGAAATCAAAATAAACTTTTCTAGCCGCTAGATGTCATTATTGCTACAGCACAAATGACTAATCGCATGACTTGTCATCCTCACGCAGAGGATGGGTTTTCATTTAAAAGCCTCTCAGAAGTTATTTTGATGTGTCTGGTTTTAAGCTCCAGCTACTTAACGAGAAAAAGCATTGTGGAAATATGGAAGCAGGTGTCAGGATGAATATTGTTTGTGATGATGATGGG